TTGTTTTTGTTATCAGTGCTTTTTAAAAAGCAGGTGTGTATCCCAAGGGGGAAGCTCCATGTGGGGCAGTGGATGTGAAGTTCATGTTCTTTTCTCTGGCCATGTTGCAGCACTGCTCCTGTGAGATGCTCAACTGCACAGGCAGACGTGGCTCCCACCAGGGTGGGRGCATCCCAGGAGCAGGACCTGCATTTCCACATCAAATGGGATACAGTGGTTTTGTTTGTTTTTTTAATATAGAGCCATACATTTTTTAAGTAATTTGAGATCTGAATGTGATTTCTAATGTATCGAGAACGTTAATATTTTAAAGCTATAACAAAGGTTTAAATTTCTACTTTTTTTTTTTTTCATTTATTTTAACTGTTCTGTTACCTTAATTTGATGTATGTGGTTGGGGAATGTTGCTTCTCCTCTTAGCATTTGTTTCTATAACCAGAAATAAAATTATATATGAAAGAGAAAATGCCCTGAAATTGCCTTTTTTGGTTTTGGGTGACATAGTGTCATCGGAGGGGTTGAGTTTCCTGCAGCAGTAAGGGGACAGCATGTTTGATACTTTTTTTCCTTTTATGTAGGAAGGAAGTGTGTATCTGCACACCTTGTTTAGAGTTCAGACGCCCCACTTTTGATCCCTTGTCAGTTATTTGGGCAGCTGTTGACTCGCAGCAGAGTGAACATATGGACGTGTGTGTTTGAGATCCGTGATGCTTCCCCTGGGGCTTATAAACCATGCCTCCAGCTCCAGCTTTTGTTTTGTCATTAAATGAAACATTGTTATTTTGAAAGTTAAACTATTCCAGTGCATTCCCCTGTAATTTATAGTAATTGTTTTCGTTTAAGCATATGAGGTCAGAAAACAGTCCTTTATCCATCTGTCTTGTTGTTAGACTTTTCCTCCTTTGTCCTCTTAATGCAGCTACAATTTAAGGTCTGGATTTATTTTGACTAAATGTTCTGACTTCCAGAATTAAATAGGAATATCTTTTAAGGCCTCAGTTGACATAAAGCAGGTGCACAAATCAGAGAGTTTTAGAACAACTGAATGGTTTGGGTTGGCAGGAAACTTTAAAATCATCTCATTCAACCCCTGCCATGGACAGGGGCACTTTTTGCTATCTCAGGTTGCTCCAAGCCCTGTCCAGCCTGGTCTGGAACAYTTCCAGGGATGGGGCAGCCACAGCTTTTCTGTGCCAGGGCCTCCTCACCCTCACAGGGAATAATTTCTTCCCAATATCCCATCCAATCCTGCCCTCTCAGTTTGAAGCCATCCCCCCTTGTCACACCATGCCCTTGTAAAAAGTTTCTCTCCATCTTGTAGTCTCCCTTCAGGTACTACAGGGAGCATTTTTTTTTTTAATTGACTAATTAAAAAATTAATAACACAGTACACAGAAAATATATTCATCTAGAGCCCTTGTTGGGGGACATCTTTTAAAATTTTGTCTTTGGCTCCCTGTGTGCTCTTGCTCTGCTGGCTAATTGCCCAGGCATGGTGTTAATGAACTTTAATGCCAGGAGAGCACGGGGCAGGGAACAACCAAAGGGCAAARTGCCAATTTTCATCCCCTGGCATCTCCTTGCGTGGTGGTGAGAGCTTCAGCCGTGTTAGCAGTCGGGAGAGAGGGTCCTGATGCATTTTTAACTTTTGGAAGTGCTGAAGACCTGAGCAGCTGGTTTTAACCAGCTATTTTGGAAAGCAGTGTTTTCTGAGCAGGTTCCAGGAAAGGCTGATCCATCATCCTCTACCTGTAAAAGCCACAACTCTCACCTCGCTGCCGTGCAATGGTGTTTTGTATAGGTCTGAGTGCCTAGAGCTGCAGAGGCGTCTTCTCAGGCTCCTGAGGTGCGGAACAACACCAGCGGCCCCTCGAAACAATCCACGAGCAGCCACTGGCGATGATTTTGGTCACCCCTTGTCCCTCCTTCTCCCCAGGCGGAACCTTGGTGCAGCAGCCGCCGCGTTCACCCGGAGCGGGCCCGTGGCACCGCCCGCCCATGGGGGGCGGCTTTGGCCGCGTACCGAGGCGCGGGCCCGGGCGGCGGCGGGGCCGGGATGTTCACGGCGGCTGCCGAGAGCTTCCTCAGGCAGGCGAGGTGCGAGGGGGACATGGGACAGGGGACAGGGGACAGGGACAGGGGACAGCGGCAGGGACCCCTCGGGCCGGGCAGGTCCGCGCGGGGGTGCTGAGCGGGGAGCCGGGCGGTGGGGCGGTGTGTATTAACCCTCCATCCCCGAGCTCCCGTGAGGGCCAGGATTTGGATTTGGGGGCCCGGGTGTTGACAGCCCCGACTGCCCCGGCAGGGAGATCCAGGAGGAAGAGCTGCGGAGATTCACCACCCGCGTGTCCGCCCTGCTGCAGGGCCCCGAGCCGGGCCCCGAGGCCGTGGACGGGCTGCAGAGGCTGCACCTGAGCGTGGCCGCCACCAAATACCCCCGCAAGTGAGTGGCCTCGTGTGKCTCGGGTGTTCGAAKAAGCAGAACGTTACTTTGCTAACCAAAAACAAATGAAGAGGGTGGGTTAGGGGTTTAGTACCCCCGCAAGTGAGTGACCTCGTGTGGCTCGGGTGTTCGAAGAAGMAAAGCGTKACTTTGCTAACCAAAAACAAAGGAGGAGGGTGGGTTAGGGGTTTAAAATAACACCCTGCCTAAAAAAAAAAAACCCCTAAGTTCAATGTAAACACAAAGCCCTGCTTTTCCTTTCACCCCCTTGCTAAAGGTGCCGTATCCTTTTATATCGAAAGGAACAAGGGTTGGTGTCGCTGAGCCCTCTGTCAAACTGCACTGAGGGACAGCACTCAGAAATGAAGATGATAAGAGGGTATTAATCACTGTCAAGGGGGATCATCCCAAAGGCAAGAATATGCAGAAAATAACCATCTGAATCTTTTCTTTCCTTGCACCAATATTTACTGTGACTCTTGCAGGCTCGATGGCGAGTTTGTGGAGCTGTTGCAGATGGTGCTGTGCTCATCCAAAAGCCCTGAGCAGATTCAGGTGTTATGTGCTGCCATCCTGAGAGAGATGTCACCTTGCAACGATCTGATCCTGTCCTGTGATGAGATTCAAGATACAAAGCTCTTGAGCCTGGTGTGCTCCGTCCTTCTGGCTCAGGTAAATGACCTGTCAAGTCAGAAATCTTCCCTTGTCAATATGGATTTGCTTTGTGGTTGTTCCCTGCTCCTGAGCTCCTCCCTGAGCTGAAGGAGAGTGAAAATCAATTGAGAGTATGTAGGAAAAAGCAGAAGCATTTCAGTGTTCATTTAAGGGATCTCATCATTCTGCTTTTCATAGGAGAAAATGGCTATTTTATTGAATGCAGCACTTAATAACAAAAAATGCTTAAAATTGTCATGTTTAGACACTGAGGTCCTGGAATCAGAACCTTTTCGTGCTGGCTGCTGGAATAAATTTCAAATCAGGGCTGCTTGAATCTGGAAAGCAAAAGATTTTAGAGTGAATTTACTATTTATTATATTGCCTTTCATGTTTGCATATAAAAATATACCTAGAACCTATAAAACATGTAGGACTGTAAATGACATTTAAAAGGTCCACATTCTCCATGGAGAGAAGCAAACATGAGGACCTTCCTGTTTTTGAATGCTGCCTGGGGAACAAACTGAAAACTTCTCTTTTTCCTCTCCTTCTTTTACCTTTACTGTGACTGTTAAAGGTAATTTTTTTTTTCTGAAACTTCTCATTCTCAGTTTCACTGTGTGCTTAGAAATGTCTCCTAGGTTTCTGACATTTATCTGAATCTGCTTAACTAAAGGAAGTGAAACAGAAACCAGCAATGCATTAGTCATGTGCTGCCTCACAAAGCTYCTCTCTCCCATATCCAGCCTTGAGTCTGTTCTGCAGTTCCACAATGTAAAAAACATATGTAAGCAGCCCCATAATTTGGGATCTGTAAACTCAAATTGCAGAAAGTCTCTGTCAAATRTGGTAAAATCACCTGTGCTGTGGGCTCTTTTTATGTTTAACTTTGGTGTTGATGCCTGGTGGAAGAGATTGCACAGTGCTGGTCTCTAGTAAGGGTAGRTTATCCATCTTTGCTTTGTTTTTCAGGGAAATAAGAGTGAAGTGGCTGCTGTGGGGCWGCGTGTTGTGAAAGTCATTGAAAGAAGACTGCCCGAGGGTCAGAGTGCYCGGTTCCTTCTTCCTGTCCTGGCAAATGTCATCAGCCTTTCACCAGAATCTCTAACAGAAGGTAAATCTATAGGAAAGGCTGAGATTGCCACCTGGCTGTGAKCTGGGTAGTGATCAGAAGGCTCTCGGTTGGAAACTGCTGTCAAAAGTGATACCTCTGCTACAAGGAAAGATGTATTCCACTTCACAAAACTGGGACTGGGCCTTCCAGTCAGATCCTGSCCATGGATTTGTATAACAGTGTCCTGTGCTCTAGCTGAGGCCTCCAGATGCAGTAGTAAGGTGAAACTGTAGCTATCCTGAAGAGCATCAAGCAAAGAGAGAGAGAGAGAGAAACAGAGCATCTGGTCAAGAGAGCAGCAGAAACAGCTAGAGGTGCTCTTCATCAGAGAGGCAGCACTGAAGGGGTAGTGGTGAGTTAACCTGGGACAGCATTCCAGGCTTAAAACACTGGGGAGCTGTGAGCAAGATGAGTTTCTGGGAGTTTGATGTGAGGTTTGTGTCCCTGGTGCAGTGTGCAGGAGAAGCTTTGGGGAGGATTGTTGGGCTGGCAGAGCAGGCAGGATCACCTGCCCCAGCTCCTGCGAGTTCCCAGGGAGGGATTTATGCCTTTGGCTGCAGAGCTGGAGCCAGACACTGTCTGAAGGGAGTGAAAGTGTTTTTGCACATTCCTCCTAATAGCAGCTATGTGTAGAGACCAGGGAACAAGTACCTCTTGAGTGATCTGGTAGCAGAAATCCTTGGCTCCTGCACTCACTCCTTGACTGAAGTAGTGTGAGGAGTACAGGCTATGCACCCTGGGGTAACAATTTCTTTGTGGATTGCTGGATCAGAGAGGGATCTAAGCTGGAGAAAAAGCACAACAATTGAGGGTTAACAAGGATATGTTGCAGAGGCTGCTTCTCTGCYCAATCTAGCAATGATCCTGTCACTTCCCTTGTACAGAGCAGACCAGTGTTGTCAGTAAAAAGCTGGCTGACTGGCTGAGGTATGCAAGCGTTCAGCAAGGAATGGCTCAACCCTCTGGAGGCTTCTTCTCCAGTCCCAGAACCAAACAGGTGAGTGCTGAGTTGCCATGGTCACCACACAGGGGCATTTGTTAGTCTGGTACCTGCTGTTTCAGGTTCCCARAATCACCTTCTTTTGGGAAATGGTGGCATAGAAGTGCTGTTTTTTTGTGGGATACATGGTCAAGACACATAGGAAAGCAAAATAGGGGGGTTTACAGCTCTGAGATTTAGGAGTTCAGCTGTAGTGCCAGAGCCTTTATCCTTGAAGCAGTTTTAAGAGAAGAGTCTTAGAGGCCGTGTACTTTAGAGTAAAATGTGATTGCAAATGAGACCAGTATCAGAGTAGGAGAGTTRAGTGTTTCAGCTGGAGAGAGGGATTCAGCACAGATGGCTTTTCTCTCTCTGGATCCCTGCCCTCCTGCAGGACCCTCCGCAGAGGTTACTTGTCTCCATGGGCTCAGTGGGGTTTCTTGCCCTCTCACTTTGCCTTTCCCTGGGGCTCTGACCTTCTGCATCTTTTCTCAGCCTGCTCCTGTCACAGAGGTGGATGGGGCTGTTGCTACAGACTTCTTCACAGTGCTCTCAGTGGCTCARCACTACACACAGGACCAGTGGCTCAACGTGCAGACCTTCTCCATGCTGAGAAATTGGCTGCTGTGCTATGGGAGCAAGGAGCTGAACACCCCTAATCCAGGTARGGATCTGCAGGCCAGTGTGGGCTGCTGACCCTAGAGGGCTGTGTGCTCTCAGATGTCGTATGAGGTGGCTGCATCAGCAACTCAGCCACCTCCTCTCTTTCAAACGGATTAGATATTAGATGAAATCATTCCCTGTGAGGCCCTGGTAGAGATGGCACAGAGAAGCTGTGGCTGCCCCATCCCTGGAAGTGTCCAAGGCCAGGCTGGACAGGGCTTGGAGCAACCTGGGATAGTGGGAGGTGTCACTGCCCATGGCAGGGGTTGGAACTGGATGAGCTTTAAGTCCCTTCCAACACAAACCATTCTGTCATTTCATGATTTTAGATGACAGGAATATGGGCAAGAGTTCAAAGATCTTGAATTAGGAGCAGGGCAAGTTTGGGAARGAATATCACAAAACCTCCTGACTGGTACTTATTGATCCTTCCATGGGGAATTACTTGCTTAGTGAATCTCATGTTTTCAGATAAAATCTTCCCTAGGAAAGAAGGGTGATGGGAGAGACAGCATCTCCTTAGTGTGCTTGTAACGTTCCCTTCTGCCCCAGACTTCTTCACTCTGCACCCGGGGACAGTCAGCTGCCTTTCTGCTGCTGTGGGTGRCATTGCCTGTGCCAGCTGACACGTGTGCTGTTCATTGTGTAGATGACAAAGCAGGAATGGACAGGTCTGTTGCATCCATGGTCTCCACTGCTCCCACATCTGGTCGGCTGCTTCCCCCCACGGAGCGTCTGCGGGAGAAATCCTTCGAGTACTGCCAGCGGCTCRTTGAGCAGAGCAACCGGCGTGAGTCTTGCCATGAGCCCTCCTGGGAGCCCTCTTGGTAGTGTTCTCCAAAATATTTCTGGTTCATTGCATGTTTGGGCTGGGGTCTCACTGCCTGGAATCCACAGTTAAGCTCCAGCAATAGGGCCTGCTGCAGCTGCTGGGGCAAGGCATTGAGCTGCCCTGAGCTGGGTGTTGGGAGGGATTTGGAGGCAACAGCCATGTTCTGCCTCCTTGATTTGCAGGGAAGGCTGTAAAACTTGGTTCTCATTGGCCTGAAATCAGGATCAGTGTGTGTTCTGCCTGCCCTGGAGTTGGGGTTAGTGCTCAAACTGACAGCCTGATGTTCCTGTGTGGGCCCAAAGCTTAACTTGGACTCATTTCTCTGGCAGGACCCCTGAAGAAAGAAGATGGAGACCTGCAGAAAGCTGTAAGCACACAGAGGTGGGGCTGAAGCTGGGAAGTTGTGGCTTCCCCCACTCCATTCTTACTCTCTGCTCTCCTGCAGTGTCTCATTGAGGCAGTGACAATCATGGACATCATCTGCAAGCAGGACTCCTCCTACGTGTACCGTGCTGTCTCCTTCCTGAAATCCCTGCATGGCAGGATCTGTGGGGATGCCACTTATGCCAGGGCACTGCTGCCCATTGCCCAGTTCTTCCTGAACCACAGTAAGTCTTCAGCTCTCACCCCTACCTCCACGATCCTGTCTGACCTCCAGCACAGCCTTTTGTCCTGGCAGTTTGCTGCTTGCCAGAGCCTGTAATTCCACTTTGCCTGTGCWCTGGAATGGATGATCCAGGAAACCCTGGAGTTGGGGTGTCCTGTCTTTAGAGAAACATAACCCAGAAGTAGCTTATCCCCTGGAGTCTGTGCTGCAGGGCTGCTGGGTGGGCTGTGCTCAGCAAGGTGCTGTGTCCTCCCAGGCAAGCTGGCAGCWGTGGACTCGGATGCCATCTACAAACACCTCCTCACTGATATCCCAGCTCAGCTCTTCCACAACCCATCACTGGCCTTCGAATTTGTCCAGTTCTGCAAAGACAACAGCCAGCTCTTCACAGACACCTCCAGCATATTCAGGCAGAGCTTCCCAAATCTCTTCAAGGTACAGCCTGTTGGAGCAGCAAAGGGGAGAGCCTGCTTCACATTCCTTTCTGTGCCCTAGAACTTCCTTTTTGCACTCCAAAACCYTCCATGTGCCTCCATGGCAGTGCTAGGAAAGCACAGGCAAGAAGGACTGTTAGGAAACAAGTGTGAGTTTGAAGAGGGAGGAGGGTTCTGGGTGTGTTTGGCAGTGCCAGGAGAGGAGAGTCTGGGTTGGCAGGGCTGCAGAGGGCTGGGCAGCACAGAGAACACAGGGCACAGCACCTTGTTTCTGGAAAAGTTTAGTAAGCTGCAGCTTGCCAAGCACTAAACCAGCTGCCAGAGGCCTGTGCTGAGCTTCTAACAGGCTCTGGGTTTTGACCAAACCCTCAGACTTCTCTGGTTTTGCTTTTCAAAAGTGACTTTCCCTTCCTTTGTCCCGTCTGGTCTTGGGGTGGAGTTGTTTGGGGTTGTGATGGAGTAGCAGGGATGGTGCAGCAGTTTATGCTCATTCCTTGCAGTTTCTGGCATGGAATAGCCCACCCCTTATCTCTGAGTTTGTGGACCTTCTGCCATTTCTGCTGGATGCAGGCACAGCCATTGAGATCTTCCATTTGCTGCTGGACCTGCCCTGTTTGACAGCAGCTCTGGACATCCAGCTGAGGTAATGCACCTTCCTTTCCTCTCGCTTGTTAAATCAGCATCTTGGCATTGACCAAAGCCCACTACACACTGCTGAGYCTCAGCTTTCTTCTGGCTGCTGCTKCTGTCACAGAGTGAGAGGCATCATTGCAGTAAGGTTAACACTCAGATGTCAGCCCGGTTTTCCTAGTAATGTGTTGTACATGGAAGAGAAGGTAACCAGCTCTCACATTTCAGCACTGGACTGGTTTTGGGGCTCAGGAAGTTGTTGTCATTCCCCTCTCCCTATCCAGCTCCAAATGTTTGCCACATGTTTGAGGCTGCCATGAGCTGCCACCTCAATACAAAAGTGGGGGCTACTTATTGTTGCTTCCCTGCTCTTAGCCCTATTTTTGGCTTTGTTCTCCTGGAGACACACTGAATTTTCTTCCTGAGGTTGTCAGGAACTGTGAGTTCCAAAGATGGGGTAGGACTGGAACTGGCCGTACCTCTGCTCTTGCTTTTCCTCCTGGCATTGCAACTCTCTGGAGTGCTTAGAAAAGAGAATCATCCCAGAGGCAGGTGTTGGTGGGCTTGGATGACTGAGGGATACAGAGTGCCATKTGTCCCTTTCCCAGGAGTGATACKGAAGCAKSTCTGGAATAGTTGCCTGAGTATGGKCCAGAGCTCATCAGGTTGGCTCTKTGGCTTCCAGAGGRCCTGRATTAGACCAGCCTGCTGTCCSTGTTTCMATGTTCAGGATCCCAGCTYTGCCCAGGCCCATTCYCACAGTGCAGCACATTCTGTTTGTGTTCCTGTAGGGCAGCTGCTGTTCCTGTCTCTGAGAAGGCAGGCAGTGACCCAGCTGGGAAACCAGCCTCGTGTCTGGAGGCCTTCCGCCATYCCCTCTACAGGAGCATGTTCCAGTATCTTCTCCGCACCAGGTCTGCTCCCGAGGATGCTCCAGACAGGTAGGAGCCTGCCTGGAGTGTGGTTCAGTCATCCGGCTCTGGGAGGCAGCACTGCCACTGCTGGGAAAGGCACAGCCACTCTCAGCTCGTGTGAGGTGGATTTCTCTCCCCTCTGTCAGCYTTGCCAGCCCTCAAAGGCCTTGTGGGGAATAGTGGGGGGCAGCTGTGAGAGTAGCTGGGAGCAAATCCTCAATAGTAATTCTTYTCTTGCCCACAGTCTGGTTCCACTTCGGCAGCTGCTGGGATCGCTGGCTGGCAGCCCAAGGGTGGTTCAGTGTGCAGAGACTGTCCCTGTCTTGCTGGAGCTCTTCTTCAGGGTGGTGGCAGAGGTAGGTCCTTTTGGTTCCCAGCTGTGCCACAAGAATCTCTTTCTGGGTGAAGAGCAGTCATAGAAGCAAAATTGTGACAGTGCTGCAGCTTCGAGAGGGGGGTGCATGAGTGCAGGGTGGGTTTGATACTGGCATGAACCAGCACTGAGCTGGCAACTTCATCCAGAGAAACAGAAAAGCTCTGTGGTACAGTGTCAGGTTCACTCTGTGCTCTCAGCCAGCTGTGAAGGAGAGAGCTGAACAGAGTGGTGCCTGATGCCTGCTTTGTGCACTGCTCCCCTCCTAGATCAGGCAGTTTGTCTCCAGCTGTCTTACCTGACTGGGCAGTTTGTGGTTTGGCTGCTGGARGTCACTGGTACTGCTGAAACAAGGGCTGGCTTTCAGTTTGCAGATGGATCTCTKATAAACCAGCTGGTGGTGCTGCTGCTGCAGAGGAGTGACCAGCTCTACGAGATCCCAGCGTTCAAAGAGGATGTGTACAGGTGAGATAGGACAGGAGGCACAGCCCGGGTCTCTGCCTCCAGGGCAGCTCAGGAATGTTTTCAGTTGTGGTCCAGTCCCTGCTCTGACACATCTTTGAAGGGAGCACAGTGGTGGCTGCACCTTCATCCCTGCTGGGACCATCCTGTGCCAGTGGCTGGTGCTGCCATCCCCTCTGGGCTTTGGGGGTCACCACCTTGCCCTTCTCTGTGCTGCAGGGTGCTGGGCTCGCAGCTGGTGATGCTGTGCAGGCTGCGCCCTGCRCTGGTGGTGGAGCTGTCCACAGAGATCCTGGAGTTCTCAGGAGCAGTCAGCAACACCCAGAGCAAGGAGGCCATCTTCACCCACCTGGTGAGCAGGGCTGCCTGCTGCTGCCACAGGCTGCTCCAGCTGCACCCTGGTGCTCACCTGCCCTTTCCTCCTCTCTCCTAGCATTAGCTAACCGGATTTGCTGTTCCCCAGAAGTGACTGAATTCCCTGTCCCTGTATTTCCCTGTGCCTCAGGTGTGGGCTATCGGCGAGTACCTGTCGGTGTCCTACGACAAGCGCTGCACAGTGGAGCAGATCACACGCTTCTTTGAGACCCTGGAGGCCGTGCTGTTTGAGATCACCCAGCTCCGGCCACAGGCCAGCACCCCCAGCTGTGCCCCCCGTGCCATCAGTGTCCTCATGGCCACCTTGACCAAGCTGGCAGCCCGCAGCCAGGACTTGATCCCCAGGTGAGCACCGGCAAAGGGTTGAAACGTGCAGATCTCCTGGGTCTGAACATGGGTTTGCTGGTGTTAATTAATAATTGAGACTGGCAACTGAGGGAACCTGGAAAAGGACAGAGGTGAGCTGTGCAAGGGCAGTTTTGGGGAGTGGGATTCACCTGCTGACTAATGCTCTGTCACCTGCACTAGTCTGTTGGAGGTGACACACTTTAGTGACCTGGCTGGGTGCAGTGGTCCTGACTGATAACCAACTGGTATCCATGTCCTTTTCTCCTGCAGAGTGTCCATGTTCCTGTCCAAGATGAGGACATTTGTGCAGAGCCCTGCTGTCACCTCTGTTTACTGTGAGGAGGACCTTGAGGAGATCCTTATTCGAGCAACTGAGCTCATGAACCTGCTGAAAATGCCCAGCGTGGCTCAGTTTGTGTTCACCCCACCCGTGGCCAGCACACGGTTTCAGAGGGAGGTGAATGACTCCYTGCCTTTGGCCCTGAGGATGGTCACCCAGCTCCTGGAGGCAGCTCCAGGCTCCATGCCAGTGTGAGGGCAGGACGTTTCTGGACAGTGCTGACATTCAAGGCTGAGGCCCTGATCTTAACTGGAAAAGAGGAACAAATGATTGTGAATGAAACAGAGAATGGGAATAAGGAGAGCTGATGCTGCTCTCCTGCTCTGAGGCTGTTTGTATTTGTGTGTCCTAGTGTCTGTTGCTTTTTTATCTCCTAAGCTTGTCTTATCCCTTCCTGACCACTATGCATTGAAAATCCTGGTGGATTTGTGYGAACGTTGCAGGAGAGTGAATGAGTGCATTAATACCCTGCCAGCACACCSTGTCCCTGTGGAGATGCACTTCTTCCCTCCCTTCTTTGCCTTGTTTCCCCTCCCCTGTGCTCTCACTACACCTCCACATGCTGCTTTTCTCRCCTCCCTTGCAGCAGGTCAAGCCAAGGCCTGTGTGAGCTGGAGGAAGCAGGACTGAGTCCATCACACGTGGGAGCCCTCACCACACCTCTGTCTCACCATCGGTGATCACAGAGAGATCCAAGAGACAGCTGCCAGAGCAGGGCTTAGAGAGATTTATTGATCCAGTTCATTGTTGACACAGAGCATTTCTCAGCATCCACCGTGTCCAACAGGCGCCATGCTGTGTTCAGAGGCTGCACCAGAGCTTTATACACATCAAGCTGTACAGTATTAACACACAGGGAAGTCAATCCATCCCACTGCTCCTCCCGGGAGAAGCCAGCCTTCATGCACACTAGTAAATAGCGGGGTTTATTTACAGTCTGATTCAATACCTGAYTGCACTATGAGCAATACAGCTCAGGGGCTGTGTTCCAGCTCCAGGGGTGCTCGTGGCTTGCGCTGGTGCTGCTGCAACGTGCCAGGATGCAGCCCCAGCACTGTCTAGTGCAAACCAAGCCTCCCCCGAGCCCTGGCTCTGGGGCAGAGAGRAGTAAGGAGTGCATGCAGTTTGCCMWGGGGCTTTAGGCAGCCCATTTCAAGTTCTGAGGAGGATGACAGGCCGGCATACCTACATGATTGAAAGTGAAGTGAATCACCAGAGCCCTGAGCCTTYGCTCGCCTGCCTGGTACAGCTGAGTCAGTGGCAGAAGGATGCACAGCCCCCAGGCCAGGGCTGTGAGCGTGGCCCAGCAGAGCAGCAAGGCACTCGTGTCTCAGAAAAGGTGCCTGGTCCATCTTGCCTAGAAAAGCAGGCCAGGCTGCGTTGAAATCCAGTAGTGGAGCGTTTCCCTTGTGTGGATTGTTCCAACATCTCTCCTCCTGCGACGTGCAAGACTAAGCACAGGAACCCAAACTGCAGCAGCKAGGCGTAATTAAAGCCAGCCCTGTTTTAGCATCACAATCCTTGGAGCGCCGTTGTTTTGAGATGCCATGTGAGCATCTGATCTGCTGCCAGAGCCTGGACCCTGCAGGGTGCGATGGAGGGCTTTGCTGCAGGCTGTTTTAATAGCGTTCAGCTAAACTAGGTCTCAGAATCTGTCTATATGTGGAAATCAGGTCGGGTTTATCCCGTTAATGGTGCTAAAAGCAGAGGGAGGACTCGGCGGGCAGGAGGCCGGGTGTGCGGGGGCCTGGGCAGCCACACGATGGAGCTGAGCCCTCAGCTGAGCTGACACTGGGCAGCAGCACAGCAGTTCCTGGGATATGCAAAACTGTCCTTCCAAAGGGAGTCTCTGCTGGCCATCATCRCCTGTTGGCATTGCAGCAGCACAGATGTGGGAGATGCTCTGAGCAGGGCAAGGAACAGGGTGGCATCGCAACRGGCTGGCGAAGCTGGAGGGAGGGGACCAGGACACGGTGCCAAGCTGTCATTTGTCTGCCTGGGCTGGTGGCAGCCACACCAGGGGTCTGGTGCCACGTGCTGCTGGGCTCACTCAGGTTCCTGGTGGCACCAGTCTTCTGTGGGACATTCTGCCATCAGTCCTGTTTAGCTGGGATCATGGTGCCAGAGCCGGGCAGTAAATCTGCAGAACAAGGGCAACGAAGTCTTTCCTTCAGGGAGCTCTCCCAGGACTCACAGGAACTGCTGGTGGTGTCAGCCCTTGGCTGTAGCTGCTTCCCATCCCGAGGCAGGGCTGCAGCCCAGCAGCAGAAAGGCACCTGGGTTAGTGTATGGCACCAGGGGAATGGACTCCTGGCAATGCATCCCGTGTGGAATCCCACTCCTGGGTGCTTGTGCTGCTGTCACCACCCCCAGAGCTGGGCACACATTTCCAGCCTGACGTGCCRGCACCTCAGGTGGCCACTGCCACAGCGAAGCCCATGCCTGCCCCACGTGTTCTCTTCAAAACCCAAAGGTGTTTGAAGCCTTCTGCCTGCCAGCATGAAATACCACACAGGGCTGCCAGCCCACAGGAACGGAGGAGCCTGCCTACAAGYCCCCATGGTGGGAGCATCCCCTTCCCTCCCCCTGCCAGAGGGGATGAAGGAACAGGAAAGCTCCTGAGAAGGACAACATTGGATATAAGRTGAGGCTGGGCAATGGATCAGGAATGATGTTCCCAGCCAGTGCAGTGGGAGAAGCGTGCACCATCCTTGCGAGTCCTTTCATCTGCTGCAGTGCAGGGGCAAAGTGTCCAAAAGCACATCGAGGGCTCTTGTGGGGTTCTGGTCCTCCCTCTTGCACTCCAGGCWCCCTGAGGTCAGCCTTAACCAGAGCTGTAGCCACAAGCTGCTGCAGAAGGATCCTTGTACCACAAGGACTAAGAGGAAGAGGAGCTGGAGCTGATTTTTTTGGCTATTTCAGTGTCCGACTTGGCAACCAGAAACCGCAGCTTCTTTCCTCCGGAGCGGATGAGGTCCACGGCACTGTGGGGCACAGCCACAGGGAGAGAGGTGAATTCTGGGCATCCACAAAACATCTCCCCTTTGCCTATCACCTTCCCCTGTGCCCTCTCAGGGTCTGTTTCTCTCCTGCCTGTACTTTGTGGAGGGCTTGGCCTCCAGGTTAGTGCTGCCCAGACAAGGACAAACAAACCCAAAGCTGCTCTGAGCTGTGAGCACCAAGGCTCTGCCTCTGAGCTGCCCTCCTTCGAGAGGAAACCTGAGGTGGGATGGGGCTGGAACAGCTCTGCATTGCTGAGACCCACCTCTGGAGCTCTCATATATTTCCCATATATGCTCCCCAGTTGTTACTCCATGATCCCTTTTCCAAGCCCACAGTCTTCCTCTCTCTGGTTCTCCCTGCCGCTTGCTTGTGCCGCAGCATCCTCGGGCCTGCAGTGCTGGCTGCAGTAACACCCCCCAGTGCTGGTAGCACCCCAGGCTGCAGTAACTAACTCCCCCAGTGCTGGTAGCACCCCAGACCCTCCTGGGAGGTGACACCCACCTCTGGTAGTCTGCCCCGATGAGGCTGGTGCCGTTGACAGCCAGGATGCGGTCCCCGATGGAGAGCCTGCCGTCGGCAGCCGCGGGGCTGTCCTCGATCAGGGTGCGGATGTAGATCCCCGGCGAGCACAGAGGGGTGTGCTGTTGGCATGGAGAGGGGGTGAGCCAAAAAAAGGGACACAAAGATTTGTGTCCCTTTGGTAACTCTCCCTCAGAGCTCACAGCCAAGCCAAGCAACCTGGGAGATGCTTGGGAACATGGCAAGKATGGTGCTAACAGTAACAGGAAGGAAATGCGATACTTTAGTTTTATATCAATTTATACACAGAGAGTAGAGGTGGGGGCAATGTGCTCTTGTTTAGTTTAATTARGAGTAAAGCATCGTTAGCCTGCAGCCGTGGTGGGATGGGAGCTCTGCTCACGCTGTCCCAGGGCTCAGTGACACTGTGTTTCCTACTGACCAACAGCACAGCTGTGAAAGGCCTTTTACAAAAATGATCCACCCCACAATGCCAGATTCCTCCTAATGCAAAGGAGGAGCTGTTTTGACACCCTGTGAGCCTCTCTGCTTCCCCTGGCACCGCTGAAGGGTGGAGGAAAAGACCTCGGCTGAGTCATTTTCCTTCCACAGGAGAGCTGAGCCTGTTTGCTCTCTCCAGCTGCAGGACAGCTGTGGACTGTGCATGCACAGCACAGCAACTGAGGTGGAGAGACCCTCTGAGAGACCCCTCCGTGCCTCATTGGCCACTGGAGAAGCAGCACAGCAACCGAGGTGTAGAGACCCTCTGAGAGACCCCTCCGTGCCTCATTGGCCACTGGAGAAGCAGCCTATCTCCCGTGGGAAGCCATCAGCTTCTTCGCTGGCTTTTCTTGGGGAATAACCCACATCCCACGTGTCCCACTCCAGCCACGTGAGGGGCAGAACAGAGAACTCACCACGCCGTCGATCAGCCCCATGCCCAGCCCGATGGGGCCCCTCTCCAGCTCCACCACGAAGACGTAGCAGAAATCATCGGTGGCAGAGCTGCGGCTGGAGGACTCTGGCGTGGGGTAGTCATAGGGGGTCGGTGAGCAGCCTGGCAGCAGAGAGAGCGGCTCAGGGCACTGGCACAGCCCAAACCCATCCTCACACCCCCCAGACAGCGCCTGCCCCGGTACCTTCGGGGGTGCTGCCTTTGGTGCCGTTCAGCCCGTTCCTGCGGGGCTCCTGCAGCGCTTTGCCCGTGCCCTGYGGTGACTCGGGGCTCATGGAGTCGAAGTTCAGGGGGGTGGTGGGTGGTGTCAGCAGGCACGAGGAGTCGCTGGGCGCCGTGCCGGCCTTGGGCACCGGGCTCCTGCCCAGCTGCAGCTGCTTGAGCTTCTCCTGGAGCTGTGGCTCGCCGGTGGGAGGCTCACAGGGGCAGGTGTTGGTGGCCAGGCAGGGCTGGGGGTTGCCCTCTGGCATGGCACAGCCCCCCTGGGAGCAATAATCCTCCTGGGCAATGGTGCTCCCCAGGGTGGTGGCCGYGCTGTCGCTCACCTCCAGCACCTCCGGCGTCGTGCATGCCTCTTTCTTGAGGAGGAGGAAAATGCTGTGGGACCCCTGCGTGTGCTTCCCATGCCCTGCTGTACCCACCACCCTGCTGCTTTCCTGGCTGCCAGTTCCATCCAATTCAGCCAGGGCTTCCCAGCACAGCTCCCCCACCCCAGTTTTGTGGCCAGAGCCATGCTGGGGATGATTACAGCCAGCCAGGAGGGGACTCCTGCTCACTTCCCTGCTGGGGGATCCCAATGGAAGGGGACACTGGGGCAGCACAGCTCCTCCTGTGCCACAGGGGCTGGGTGATGTGGCTCCAGGGTGACCGGAGGAGGCAGCAGTGCGTGTGGGTGCTGCAGGGGATGGGACAGGATGGCAGAGGAGAAGGGGGGGACCTGCTGGAGGGATGTCCTCCACGTGGCAGTTGAGCTTAGCACCCGCAGCACGTCTCGCCCTCCCTGTGCTTTCCAGGCATTAGCTAATTAGTGCATTTGAGCGAGGCTGGCTGCTGGGGATGGGCAGGGTGCAGGCAGGGAGCACRGGGAACACGCAGGGAGAAGGGGAGCACTGCCCACAGACATCTCCCCTTCCTCCCTCTCCCAGCTAACGAGATTGCTGGGAAGAGCCTGTCCTTCCAGCTCAC